GCTTTAATTCTTGCATGTAATTTTTATTTTGTAGTTTACAATCTTAGTATATCTTAGTATATAGTATATTAATATGTGCAACTAAAATTACTAATAAAGATATAAGCAAGACCTCATCTTAACACTAAAAAAAAAAAAATATATATCTTGCTTCTATATAATAGTTTTCTAGTTTCTTTTAATAGTTTATTTTATTTGCAGGAAAGTTTAAATTTAACTATTCTTATTTATTAAGTTATAATACTAATTACTATATATAAGTTTTTTTTTTTTTTTTTTTTTTTAGTTTAGTTTATAGTTATTTTTCTGTTATCGAACATCTAGTCTCTTTACTAGTTCTTCAATTTTACTATAAATTTCTCGTTTTCAATATCTAAAATTATAATTTTTTTAAGCCAAATAAATTATTAAGCTTGAGTTTACCTTAAGTATAGAAGTAATTTATATTAATGCTATATTAACTATAATTCAGATAATATTAAAAAAACATCTAAATATATATCAAATATGTAATAACAAATATGATAAATATGCTATTCTTAATCTATGTACTACATAGTACTAGATCTTCTGCATAAAAACCTTCCTAGCTATCAGATCTATATTTGTACAACAGACCCATAGGTCTATTACTAAGGTTTAAAATTGGTAAAATGTAACAAACTCAGATCTTGTATCTGGCCATTTACAGTAAATTATAAGTTTAGAAATAACAATAGGCTATTATTATTTCTAAACTTATAATTTAATTTTTCTTTATAAGTTAAATAGTGGTTATTGTTAATAATTATTGTTTTATTTGTTTTAGTTATTTTATTATTATCATTATATTATAAATATCAAAAAAAGAATAATTATAATTATTTTTTAATTTTAATAAAGATACTTTTATGATTACATTTTACTGCTACATTATTAATATTTAATTATTAATATAATATAAAATTAAGCAAAGCAATACTTTTTTAAGTTAATTCAATACTAATAATGTAAAAAAATAAGCCTTTGCAATATTATTTAATTGAGTTTATAGAAGTTCTAAAAAAAAGTCTAATAAGTATAATCACTTTGCTGTTTGTAATGTATACAAGAAAGCAAGTAGACATAAATATACATATTTAAATAAATTTGTTAATACAAAATAATTAGTTAAGTTATATTTAAAAAACTGTATATATTTCAAAGATCAAAAAAGGAGGCAAGTAGTCAAATGAATATTAAATAGTACAGATAATTAGAAGTTGAAAAACAATCAAAAAAACATCAATGTAAATATAAATAATATATTCTTATTTATAAAATTATTTATAAATTAATTTAATATAATAATTATATTAATATTAATAGATGGTAGTAATAAAGAATTTAGCAATGATTTGGATGAAAGCAGTAATACTAAAATTAAAAAATTTAGAGGATTATTAAATTCTTATGTTGTATATAAACTTTTCAGAACAAAGCAATCAAAATTTGATTACCTGCTTCTGAAAATGACAGTAGCAAATAGATAGAGCTTTAAATGTGTTAATAATCCAGATTCACTAGCACTTTTTAAATTTCTTAATTTCAAGATTACTCTTCCTATTTGTAAGCAATTAAGTAGAAAAATTTTAATAAGACAGTTGATAAATTTATAACAAAAATTAAAGAAATTGTAAAAAAAGACATAGTTGGCATTACCTTAACTTTAAATAGTTGGACAAATGTAATTAATTAAAATTTATTAGAAAGTGTTTTGATTACTTCTTTTGGTAAACCTCTAATATAGAAAGTGCAAGAGTTTGTAATAAAAAATCATATGTTACAGATATTATTCTAAAAGTTGAAAAGTTATTTAATGATTTAGAACCAGAGAAAATTAAAGTCATAGCTTTGGTAATAGATAATGCAGCAGCCTATACTTTAGCTAGATAATAAAATAATAAATATTTATTTTAAATAAATAAATAAATTAATTTAATTAATCTTTATTATATTGTAGGAAGCAATTGTAAATGAATTACAAAAATAAAGTTTTTTTACTGTATTTTATGTATCAACTAAATTTATATATTGGTAAGATTTTTAAAGAATCACTAGCATTTAAAAAAACTATTGATAATACAATTACTGTAATAACATATTTTAAAAACAACTTGCAATACTATCAACTCTTCCCAACAATCATTTGAACCAAACTTTTCAAAAAGCCAGAATACAGAAAAACAATATAGTTAATATATTAAATTTTATAAAAACTTTTTCAGAGTACTGTATATATATAGTTGAACATTGAAATAGAGTTGAAAAACAAGTTGTAGCTTTGTGGTGATAGTTTAAACACACTTTGGGACTATAGAAGAAGTAGTCAGTAAAAGCTAAGTTTTTTATCAAATAAACAACAAAGTTGGATATATTATTTTTATGTAACTGTAAAACCTACAAGAAACATCTATAAAGATTAAAAACTTACAAAAGCTACAAAGTTGGTTTACTTTTCACTTTTATTTTGCTTCGAGAAAATTTTGTAAAAGTGGATGGTTTAGCTTACTTTCTTCTAAAGATCAATATGTAAAACTACCAAAACAGTCAGCAATGTTTACTTCCTAAACAAGTTTGTTGATGTCATAGATCAAAAACAATACAGTAATACAAATATGATTATATATATACCTTGAAATACTAAAAACCTAGAAATACTGCCTTCAGATTAACTAGTGCTCTATACCAATCCTCTATAATCAAGTTGAAGATTTTTCTTCTCTATATAGTTTTTTGTTAAATAATCTAAGTAAATAAAAAAATAGTAGAGTTATTTTTATTTAGTATAGTTTATAATTTTTAAAGGCTCGACACAGGCATATAATTATGATCATCTGATATTTGTAAATTGCAAGTTTCATATATTTTCTTTTTTCTTGTTTATTTCTTTTCTCTCTTTATTTCTTGATTTGTATTTTTTATCGTTTACCCCTATACCTCTATTTTGTTTTTTACATAAAAATTTTTTTTTTTTTGTTTTTTGCTTCCTTACAAAAAGATGTTATCAGATTGATGATGTTCTATTGTAGGGCAGCAATCAGATGAGCAGTCTATCTCTAATTGGAATAGTGTAACAGGTCATATTTAGGTACTATTTGGGTGGCCGAGTAATGCTAGACTTATATATCAGAAAAATTCTATATAATCTGTATAGTTTAAAGAATCCTAATAAAGTACTAGTGTGACTACTAAAGTTAAAAAAAATATATATATATATTTTAAAAATATTAATCATTTATACTTTATTAGAAAATTATAAGAACAACAAGAAATTCTTTATCATAAATATGTAACTCTTATTAAGCCAGGAGTAACATGATGGAATTCTTACTTTTATTGCTTAGAAAGCTTTTAAAAACTAAGAAAGCACTTAAAGTAATTAATTTATTTAATTTAAATAAATGTTAATATAATATATATTTATTAATTATATAATAATTAAATATTTTTAAACATTAGTTGCTAAATATAAACCATGTGATTATAATTCAAATAATGAATCTTTTGAACTGCAAGATTGTTCTAACTTGGTTCTACTAAGTAAAATATGTGATATTATTAATGATAATAATAGTAATAATAAATAAAAAGTATAAAATCTTTACTATTACCTTATTATACTTGTCTTAATTTATTACAATGTGACAAAGCACAACTCTTTGAAGTATTACATTCATTCAGTTATTTGATCAAAATAATTAAAGAACATTCTAATATTTACCTTAATTAATAACTTTTAGACCAGTTAGAAAAGTGATAGAACTCTTAAAAATAATCATTATTAATATTATTATTTGTTCCTCATCCAATGTACCAAATAGAAAAATTTAATTTTAAATTAAAAAATTTAACATATATTAATATAGGTGAATATATTCTATACTATTATTCAAAATAGCTTTATTAACAACCAAATACAATTCTACAAGAACTTGAACTTTTTTATCAAAAAAAATTATCATTTAATGCTATAACCTCAAGACCATTTGATAATGATGTAATTGGATATTTGAGCTATTGTGCATTATGTGCTAAAGAACTAGCTAGGTCTTGTAGCATTACAAATTTATTGAATATATGTAAACTCAGTCTTTATTGAATGTCTTTAGTTATTAATAAGATTTATTCATTTTAATTGATGCAACAGATTGCTGGTAAATTATTGTATTGAGATAATTTTATTAAATTATTTTGAAATATTTAAAAGTTTATTTTAAGTTTTGTTAAGTTACTAATAAATAATATATTTTTATTATTATTTATTATTTATTTTAATTAATTATACTATAGTTTAAAAAGGTATTGGCAATTAGCCAATTACATGGAATCTTTGCTCAAAATCACTAAATTTAAGAGTTGGACAAACTTAAAAAACTTTATGAGTCAACTTCAACAATATCTTTATTAAACTATTCTAAAGATGTACAAAGCACTTCAATAGTCCAATATACTAATGACAAAAGTAATTATGATGAAATTAATAATACAAATGAAGATGATGAAGATGATATTACATTATGGTCATCGATTTCAAATAATGATTCAGATAGAAATTTATCAGGTTTGGAATCAGTTGACTTAGATGAATTGTTAGATAGTCAAGAGTCTTTGGTAGGTTGTAAAGTCAAATGACCATTAAATAAATTGTTTACTGCTGATTTAGAAGCACTATTTTTTGCTACATTTTAATTTTTTTTTAAAAAAATTATAAATATTAAAAATAAAATCGAACTTGTTTACACAATAGAAATACTTATAATGTCAATGATCATAGTTTTTTAAAATAATCATAATTGTAATTTTTAAACAGTTCATTTTGAGACTAATTAAGAGTCTTATCACTATTAAAATATTAAAAATACAGAAGGAGATTGGTATTTAGGGTTAAAACCCCTGATAAATTTAAAATTCTAAGTGAAGGTTCGAATCTCCAGTTCAAAAAAGATATATTAGTTTTTATGACATGGCAGATTAGCATATTAAGGAAAAACGTTAAAACCTTTGCTTCCTTATTATATAATTTATTTCTATTAACCTCATGATTATTCAAATATCAAAATTCTAATCGATTCATTGATCATCTAATATTCGATCCCAAAATTGGTACTTTTTAACATTTAAACCTTAAAGAATAAATAAATAATAGTAAGTTAACCAATTATAAATTTGTTCATGATAGATGCCAAATATTTTGAATTATTAAAGTCTTCCCGATCTTTAAATTTAAAAGGTTTCATAGTAAATATTTTATTTTTGATTATTAAAATTTACATATTGCATAGCTTTTATAGTTAGTAATAATTTATAGATAATAATATAAAAGATGTTATTTATGAATTAATAGCTAAATTAATAGAAATAATTATTTAAAAATTTTATACTCTCATATAATGATTTTTTAGGCACATTAATCGCACTATAATATGTTTTAATTGATAAGCTAGTTTTTAATTTAAAAAAACCTTTCAGTAAATGACTGGACATATTGGACTGGACTATGTCCAAGTATATGTCCAATGTTCATGTCCAGTCCAGTAGCATTAAAAATAGGTGGACATATGTCCAGTGCCAACACTGAATCATCCCTGACATTTAATTACTCGTCGGTAATATTGACACACTCGACTTTCTCACTTATTTCCATGATTTCTTTTGTGTTAATAATTTTACTCGTATACATATTATTCGGATGAATCAATGATTTGATATCTGGTTTAATATGATCCGCTTCTAAAAATTGCCTCTTAATCTCATTATCTTTATCCAATTCCATCTGATCGAGCCAATATCCAACATAGTGACAGATTTTTGTCGCGGTCGGCCGCTTGTTCGGATTAGCATTTGTGCATCTTTCCACTAATTCTATGTAACATTCTGGTGTTCCTTCGCTAAATTTTGGTCGCTCACCTTTACAAATCCTAACTGCTAGCTTAACACTAAATTCTTCACCGTCAAACGCTCGTTTTCCAGTCGCAATCTCGGTCATGATGATTCCAAGACCGTAAACATCTGCAGCTTGCATGAATGGTTTCCCCTGTAAGACTTCTGGTGCTACATACGGCATAACACCTGTAACCTCACTCTGTTTTTTTTCAGTAAGGTCTATCAGCCCTAAATCAGTAATGTATGCACTGTGAAAATTATCTTGCAAAATATTGCCTGAATGCAAATCTCGATGAACCAATTCATGAGAATGAATTGCTTCAAGATCCGAAGCAATACAATATAAGATATTCAATTTATCTTTCCAAATTAATTGAGACACAACTTTAAGATTTTGACGTAATGAACCTTCTCTAGCGTATTTTAACACAATGATATAATCTTTTGTTGTAATATCTTTTGATACTCCATAGCATTCTAAGAATGATGGATTCTCATAACCAATTTCACAATAATGTTTCAATTCATGAACAAAATTTTTTACGTCATCACTAGAATC